CACCGCGACTGGGATGAATTCCTACCGTACGTTCTATTTGCATACAATTCTTCCACCCACGAGACGACTGGATTCACTCCCTTCTTTCTTCTTCACGGACATGAACCGACACTACCGGTGGATGTAGGGTCGGGCGCGCAACGCGGATTCGACTACACCCTGGATGCAATGAAAGTGGCCCGCAGGCTGCGGCAGGCTCGAAAAATAGTAAATGAACGGGAGAAGCGTCAGCAGGAGAAGAACAAGCGCAGCTATGATGCTAGGCGACAAAGTGTTGTTTATCATCAGGGCGACTTGGTGTACTTGTGGACTCCCTCCCGGGCGAAAGGGAAGACGACAAAGCTTCTTCACAAATATCACGGACCTTTCCGTCTTGTGCGCCAGGTAGCCGAGAACAACTGGGAGGTGGTAGACCAAATTGGGAAAAAACGTGACGTTGTGAATGTGGCGCGTTTAAAGCCCTGCCACGTTCGATTGGGCTCCGATGCCGACGACGCGGACGATGAGTCTGATGATAATCATGAGGTGCGCGATCTCGGTGGTGATGTGCGCGAGGGAAGTGCCAGGAGAGATGACCACGGATTGCATCGAAGTGTTGTGCGCGAGTGCAGTGCAAGGAGAGATGACCACGGATTGCAACAAAGTGTTGTGCGCGAGTGCGGCTCCAATGGTGATGTGCGCGAGTGCGGTTCGAGAGTGGGTCAGGAACTCCGTTTGCAACATTGTGTGCGCGGGACACAGACCAGTGTTCCAGTACAACAGTGCGAAAGCTACGACACGGACACTGAACTTTACTCGGACTGGAAGATATTTTCAAGTAATAACAACGCACAACAGAATGTCAGTGCTTACGAAACGGACACTGAATTGTATTGCAGTACCGATGAGTGAACCCATATATTTCCGTGTCCAATGATTTTGTTTTGTTTTTCATCTGTTGTTTTTATGTAAAATTTTTAAAGCCTCTCACCTGTTATACACATAAATAAGTGTCTTTAAATAGGCATCTCACACACTTGTTGAATGCAAAAACCTTTTTGTATAATTAGTCTATTTATTGTCGTGTTTTGCAGATAAAACGAGTGGGGCACTCTTTTTCGTAGGGGGGAGGTGTCGCGAGAGAAAGGTTTCCAGCTCCAGTATCTTCTCAGGAAATTTGTGCAAAACCAACTCCTGCTTCTTTTTTAAGTCTTTCTTTGTACTCTTCTACCTTTGGGTTTGTTTCTCTGGCCATTACAGAGCTTCGGCTTTCGACTTTAACGAAATGTGGGATAAATCGTGTTTTCCAGCCTGGGACAGGCGCCTACACGCTGCATTTTACGGCTCACAAACCGAGCAGTCAAGGTCGCCCCGTTCGGGATTAGAAGGGGAAAGCTTACTAGGAAAAGCGTCTAGCAAGAGGCAGGTCCGGCGCCACCGTCTGAGTTTAAGCCATTGTCGGCAGGCACGCGTGTCATTGAGAATGACATGGGGACGCGACCACTTAGCCTGACCGAGACATAGTGGCGGCAGGTAAACGACCATATTCTCTCGCGCTGTTGTTAGGATGTCGGGGCGCCTCGCTGTCGCATGTACACCTGGTAAGCAATGGTGTACCCATCGCTCTTAAGGACGCTTCTAGAAAGCAACAGTTAATGAAAGAACTTACGGGGCCCGAGCGTGGGAACGGCCGCCGACGGTAGTCGGCCGAAGGAAGCAGCACGGCCTGGTATGGGAGAGAGTGTCACGTGCGGAGGACCTTTCCCTTTGCGTGTTTCATTTTGGTAAGGAGGTTTTTACAAATGTAGTGCCTTTTATGAAAGTGTTTCTGTGATTGGTTGTGATGCTGCGAGTCCCAACATGTGATTGGTTTTTGTGAAGACTTTGTTCGACCAAGGGTTAAAAAGAGGATGTTTGAACTTGAAAAGTGAGCGGAGTCGGGGTAAACAGCGGATCTCACCACGGGAGACCAGGCCATGCAGGCCGAGGGGTATGTCACCATTTTCTATGTTTTGTCTTTGTGACCCAGTGCATTTTGTAACTTGAAGTTGTGTTAGCTAAATAAACCCCCAATGAGTGCTCCCCGAATTCATCGTGTTGACTTCTCATCGATGGCCTCCGCGGAGTTTCACCCACACATATTCGTCTCCCTGGTCGTCCGATGCGCCTAACTTGAACAACCCCGACGTTTCGCTACAATATTCTCAATTATCATATGGGGGACATATGTGGGGATTGCATGTGGGGGACATATGCTTTCAGCATTTACTTCCTAAGGACTTTCTTCGATCTGCTGCACCAAATACCAGTACCAAATAAAGCACTCGCTATTGCAAAAGATGGATTGGTAAGTAAATAAACTACACTTCGAGTGTTAGCAAAGGGAATGAGGTATAAAAGATGAAATAGATCGAGTAACTGCTTTCAGTTCTCAGCATTCAATTTTCTGTTGCCCGAAGTATACAGGGCTGCAAAGCTACAAGAGCGGGTCATCGAGGCATATTGTCAAATCTTCCGGTAAGAAAAATTCCCTACTAATAATGGTTACATGATGGCAAGCCAATCAGTAGCCAATATTAGTCGTGCAGGAAACATCGGTGTAATAACGGCATTTGATTGGCTGAAATATGACCCAATGTTGGCCGAACATTGGCAGCTTTGTTGGCAATACGACGGGCGTTCGTCGGCATATCTACAGAGCCCTAATGTTGGTGGCATGCTGGCTAAAACATCGGTAAAACGTCGGTCCATCATTGGCTTGAACGTCGGCCCGACAATGGAAGAAGTTGCACTTTATACGTCGGCCCGACGTCGGTGCCGATGTTAGCCGATGTTGGTCCAAGATTGGTCCAACGGGGGCGCGCTGCCTGGGAAGGTATGCACTGCGTCATCCCGTACGCAAGCCGACTGTTGTCGCGCTCGAAACAAAATTATTCGATCACAGAACGCGAGTGCTTAGCTCTCGTCTGGACCATTGCAAAATTCCGGCCCCACCTGTATAGCCGACCATTCTCAGTTATTACGGACCATCATGCGCTTTCCTGGCTCTCCTCACTCAAGCACCCAACAGGACGCCTTGGTCGCTGGGCGCTGCGCTGACAAGAGTACGCTTTTTCCGTATCCTATAAATCCGGACAACTTCAAAAGGATGCCGACTGCTTGTTCCCGTTACCCAGTCGATCCCCCTGACATGATGGAAGATGGACAAGATGCCCTCGTTCTTTCAATTACCGACTTCACAGACATAGCTGCTGAATAACGCCGCGACCTCTCTTTGCGTGCTATTATCAATGGTCTGCACTCTCCATACCCTGACCACTCCTTACAACTGTTCGTTCTTAACAACAACATCTTGCACCGCTACAACGCCTGCCCAGATGGTGCTGGGCTTTTACTCGTTCCTGCACATTTTCGCTCACACGTTTTGGCCCTGCTCCATGATGCCCCTTCTGCTGGACACCTAGGAATGTGTGGGGATCTGAGGCGCGCCCGCAACCATTTCGCGGGCATTTCGCCACACGGCCACACTCTTACTTTCCCGCTCTGTTAACACCACGTGGCGATAGATGGCGCCACGTGCGGGCACGGCACGCGGTACGCGCGCGCGCGCTCTCTTCTCCGTTGGTCGGCGCCGGGTAAGCACGTGTTTTTCCTTCGTCCGTGTCCCTTTTGGGAATCGCCGGACTGTAGCCTGCCTGGGGTGGTCTTGGGAACTTCGGCAGGCGTGTTTACTTGAGTGCTAGCTTCGGTAGCGTACGCTAAGCCCACAGCGGTGCCTAGTGCTTGAAGTGGTTGTACCACAACGAGCCGCACTTGCCGTAGGCCTACGCGTATGAGGTTTGCCCTAACACTCGCGACCAGGCCCATTGGCCATCGTGAGACTGCGCAGCATAGCCGCGAGGGACATTTTCCCGACCGGCGTGTCAAAGCTCACCATTGCCAGCTGCGACGTGCTCGCGGTTTTCCCCTTATTGTGAACGTCCGCGTGCGGGTGCCTTTGCTACCCGCGTCCCGGGAGCGCACGTTGTACTGTTGTTCGGGGGGCCGCCAGAGGCAATAAAGTGTGTTTTTGCATTAGAACACTGTCTGTCTGCCGCGGCGCGCTAAACGCTTTATTAGTTGAGCGCGCGCAGAGCGGTGCGCTACACACGAGTAAACGGAGTAGCGGCCCTGTGGCTCGCTAAGCGTGAACCCGCGGTGATCGTCCACTGCAGTTAGGAGCGGGGTCACCATACTGGCGCCCAACGTGGTATCAAAGGCTCATTAAGCTTTTGATTAGTCTTAGCCGAGTCAGCCCGCTTTTGCGAATTGGGCTCGCCGCGTTTACCAGCGTTATGTCTGCTCGGCGCGAGTTCTGTCCGCTGACGCTTTTAGCAGATACCGCATTGCTCGAGAACAGGGCCAGTGCCCACCTTGAGCATCCCAATCGCGCACCCTCACTTTTCACAAGCCCCAGTCGGGATGACACGAGGCGCTACGTATCAGCTCCCACTAGAGAGGTAGCTTGTTTTGGGTCCGGGGCCATAGCCCAACCCGAACAGTGCACAAGGGCAAATCGGACTACTACTGCTCCCTTTGGAAGGCATGGCAGTTCTATGTCACAGCGCTCCGAAACGGCTCTCAGTGGAGCTTCCGGGGCGCAGATCGGCACCGCGGCCTCAGCCGTTGCCGAATTTTGCCCACTGGCTGCTACGCAACCTAGCAGCCAAGCTCATTTCGAGCACGCGCCTGCACCGCTAGCCGGAAGCAGCCTAGAATTTTCATGTGAAGCTGCCCCAAGAGTCAGCTGTGAAAAACAGGCGCTCCCCAGAGCCACAACGGCCGGTATCCATTTTGAAACCGCGCCGCTTATCGAGTTCGGAGACAGTTCCCCACCACTCGCCCGCGCCGCTAATGCACAGACAGCTTCCTTTGAAGCGGGCGCACAGACGCTGCTGCAAAATGCCGCCCAAACGATTCAGGCACTCACGGGGGCAGTCCAAACGTTTTCGCCCGTTCCGAAACGCCCTCATCTCGCTGTCATGTTGGCCGTTCCGACCTACAGCGGGTATGGTGATCGGCAAAGTGCAAGAGATTACCTGGACTCCCTCACGCGTTATCAGAGAGCCATGGGTCTAGACGACCAGGAAGTGCTTGGACGCGTCGTCCCGGCTGCACTGACTGACACGGCGGCCAGGTGGCATCGGCTTTCCGGTCACCGAGCAGCAACCCTCGATGAGTTCCGCGCGGCCTTCCTGCGCGAATTCTCACCCGCTGACTACGAGAGTAAGATGCGGCGCGAGCTCGAGCTCCGCACACAAGCTCCTGATGAGTCGCTTCAGGAGTACGTACGCGCGATGAAAGACCTTGTTTCTATCGCTGAGCCCAGAGCCTCGAACGAGGAGCGCGTCGAACGGGTGATTAGGCAGGCACACCCGACTTTGTCGGCGCACCTGCGCGGCAGTCGCTTCCGTGATTTGGAGCAATTGGCCGTCGAGGCAAAGCGCATCCAAGGCGACATTCTCGCCGCACATTCCTATCACCCGCCACCGCCAGCCAGCGAGGCCCTCGAACCGCGCAGCGCGTGGGGAGGGGCCATGACCCTTTCTCAGCGGCAACAGCCCGCCGGAGCTGCCTTTGCGGCTACCGCTACAGCTGGGCGCGCGTGGGAGATAAGCGATCGAGCTTTAGATCCCTACACGTACGGGAGGCGTGCAGCCGGTGCTGCATCGCAACTCGACGCGCGCGAGCAGGGGTGAAATTCAACCCAGCGCATCACCGGTGATAACCGTCGTCAGGGCGGTTCCTTTGATCACGCGGCGAACCGACCCCGGCAGCTCGAAGCTGCTCCGTCTCGGGAAAGGGACCGCGATGGAGTGCGCTGCTTCCGCTGCCGTCAACGAGGGCACATAGCGAAGGAGTGCTCCGCGTTTGTGCCTCCTGTGAGGCAGGGAAACGGGAGCACGGGTGTTCGTGAAGGCACGAGCAGCCAAACCCTTGCTTCTCCCCTCTGCGCACCGGACAAGCAGTCTTGCTGGTGCGCACGCGCCGTTTATTACGCACCATTGTCGGTCACAAATTCTCGGCGTTGCTGTACACGGGCGCAAGCGTTTCGTTGTTTGGCGAACAGGTGTTGTCCCACTTGCAGAAGCGCTCGGTGCGCTTGCGGGACAGCCGAACGACATTCACCCTCGCGAGAGGCGTGGCTCATTCGGCGGGTGTCACGAGGTTGACTGTCAGATAGGGAGGCCGAATGAGACGCGCGCGTTTCGTTCATCTTCCAGGGCTCAGTGTTCCTGTGATTCTCGGTCAGGACTTTCTCCTAAAAACCGGTATCGTAGTGGACATTGTGAATGGCGGCTATCGCGACGGAACTTTTTCCGAGCTAAAGCCGTTCATCAGCCCACCGGCGCTTTCTGTTGCCTGTGCAGTTGAAGCGTCGAAACCGTGTCACGTGCAAACTTCGGGGGCAGGCCCCTGCGCTATGCCGTCGTCGGCTCAAAATCCCCATCGGGATTGAGCGGCACGACACGAAGAGGCTCCGCATCCTTTGATCGCCTGTGCGACTCAATTGGATGATACACAGAAGGCTCGTCTATCGGCACTGTTACGCGAGTACGATGAGCTCTTCACCAATCAACCCGGCTGTATCGATTTGGTGAGCCATTCGATCGAAACTGGCGACGCGCTTCCTTTGAAGTGCAACCCCAGGCCCGTCAGCCAGGCCAAAAGACAGGTAATTGACGGCTTGCTGGACGAGATGCTTTCAGCTGGCATTGTTCGCCGTTCGTCCAGCGCCTGGGCGCCTCCAATTGTGTTGGTGCCTAAGAAAGATGGCAGTCATCGCCTGTGCGTAGACTATCGCCGTCTCAACGGAGTGACTTGTAAGGATGCCTATCCACTCCCCACGATTAGCTCAATCGTAGGAAACCTCGGCACTGTGCGGTATTTTACCACATTAGATGCCTCCAGAGGGGACCTACAGGTCTGGATGGATGAGCGTTACCGGTGCAAGACCGCGTTCAGGTCCCACAGAGGGTTATTTGAGTTCACTCGTATGCCCTTTGGTCTTTGCAATGCTCCTGCGACTTTTCAGAGACTCATGAACCGCGTCCTCGGGGAAGCAAAGTGGTCTTACTGCATGTGCTACCTCGACGACATCGTCATTTATTCACGAACCTTCGAAGAGCATTTGGCCCATATTGCCGATGTGCTCGAGAGGTTGCGAGCCGCCGGGATGACGGTAAATCCCGCAAAGGCCCAACTAGCGCAAACCCGAGTTCAGTTACTTGGCTTCACGCTGGGCAAACGCTCCAGTGAGCCAGATCGGGAGAAACTTCGAGCAATCCTCGATTTCCCTGCGCCCAAGGACGCACGCAGCCTGCGCCGCTTTCTCGGAATGGCCAACTTTTACCGGTCTTTCATTCCGTCCTGTGCCCGAGTGCAGGCGCCCTTGACCAAGCTCTTGGGTAAGTCAGCTGAGTGGCGATGGGGACCTGAGCAGCAAGAGGCGTTTTGCCGTCTGTCTAGCGCCATTGCGGAGACGGCGCAGCTCAAGCTCCCCGACCTGAGCAGACCGTTTGTTCAGACCGACGCAAGCGATCTGGGATTAGGAGCAGTTCTTCTACAGGAATACGATGGTGAGTTGCAGCCGCTGGCCTTTGCCAGCCGCTCGTTGATACCCGCGGAAAGAAATTATTCCGTGTCCGAGAGGGAGTGTCTCGCCATCGTGTTTGCACTGCGGAAGTTTGATGTCTACCTTGATTGGACGAAATTTCTGGTGCAAACAGATCACAGCGCGCTTAGCTGGCTGATGCGGCTCCGTGAGCCTGCAGGCAGGCTAGCGCGCTGGGGTCTCTTAATACAGCATTATGACTTCAGTGCAGTATCGGAAGGGGAGCACTAACGTGGTAGCTCACGCGCTATCTCGTGCCCCAGTGTCTACCAGGAGCCTGGATCCCGGTGCGACAACCGCTAGCGGTGCCTTTGCGCAAGCGAGCGGCGCGGGCGAAACGGTGGCGGAGCCACCGAAAGAGAAAATGGTGAGTGTGCCGACGAGCAAACCCTTTCCACGGGCCAGGCAAGCAGTGCGCCGCGAAACGGGTGAGAGGGGGAGCGAAAGAGAAGCGAACCCATGACGCCAATGCGAGCGGAAGTGATGGCTGCAGTCCTGAGTGGGAACGATACCAAGCTCCCCTTTGGGAGAATGGGAATCGCTATCAGCAGACAAGAGTTGCTGAAGGCCCAGCAAGACAATCCGTTTTGTCGCGAATTGAGCGACGGTCTCAGGGAGACGGAGCGCCGAGACGCTGCTGGTAGTGCGGCGGGCGCAGGGGGACAAGAACCGGCGTGTGTCGCTGGGTCCCCCGCGGATACATACTTGCTGGAACATGATGGATTCCTGCTGAAATACATAGCCCCCGATGAGGAGTCAGTGGACCCATTTAAGGTGGTTGTGCCCAAAAGTCTGAGAGGCGCACTGTTGCGAGCCTCTGACGACGAGCCCATTGCCGGTCACCTGAGTGGCTCTAAAGTTTTTGCAAAACTGAGCAAGGTTGTGACTTGGCTTGGCATGAAGCGTGACATTTTTCGCTACTGCCGTTCCTGCCACGTCTGTAAAACGGTGAAATCAAGAGGTGGCAAGCCGCCCGGCTTGCTGAAACCGGTTGTCAGTGAGCATCCGTGGCAAGTAGCCACCTGCGATCTAATGGAGCCGTTCCCGAGGAGTAAGCAGGGGTTCATACATCTGATGGTAGTTGTGGATCATTTTTCCAAATGGTTTGAGCTGTTTCCGCTGCGGAAAGTGACAGCGCGAGCGGTGCTAGAGAGGCTACAGGAAGTGTTTTGTCGGTTCGGCTTTCCGAAAAGATTGATCACGGACAATGCGTCGTATTTAACCGCTCGGGTGTTTGGTGATACGTGCCGTTCCCTAGGAATAGATCACTGCACCACTTTCCTCAGTCCAATTTGACGGAGCGAACCAATCGTACGCTCAAACCGTTGTTGGCGGCCTTTGCCGAAAGTCAAAGGGACTGGGCAGACCATTTGAGTGAATTCGCGTTTGCAATCCGAACCTCCGAGAGTCGCTCTACTGGTTTCTCTCCCGCCTTCCTTAATTTCGGAAGGGAGTTGGCAAATCCGGTGACCAGTGTCATGCAATGCCAGCTCGGAGACGAGGAAGAACCGGCAGACTGTTCTGCTTACGCTTCCACACTACGGGACAGGCTTTGTCGAGCTCTCAGTAGAGCGAGGTAGAGTTTGGCATCGGCCAGGGCCGAACAAAAGGCCCAGTACGACCGAAAACGTCGCCACCTTTGATTTAAGGTGGGTGACTTCGTCCTGAAGCGCAACCACGCTCTTAGCGACGCGAGCAAGGGTTTTTCAACTTCGCTCGCTCTAAAGTGCCTTGGTCCGTACCGAATGGAGAAAGCTTGGACTCCACTCGCGTACTTGCTGAAAGACCCGCTTTCGGGGAAACTCAGCCGTGCCCACATAGCAGACCTGAAAGCCTTTGCGTCGAGGTCTGACAAGCCTGCGCCAGCGCCCAATGGCCCTTCGCGCAAGCAACGGCGCACACCCGGCGTGGCGGACCGCATTCGGACCACGCACCGGTATAATCTGAGGAAGCAGTCACCTTAGTGATTTCGTGCCGGACAGCGGGCTTATTTCCGCAACCGAAGGCGCTCATTTATACTGTCTAGTCTCAGTTAGCTAACTTCTTTACTGCCAGTGCTTGCAAAGAAGTCGGTTCCGCCCAGTTACTGCTGCTGATTGTCATTTTAGTGCTGTTGTTTACTTGTTTTTTTCCTTCTCGCTGGAGGAGGGGATTAAGATTGCTGCTTTAGCGGGGGCCAGAGGGACGAAGGACACTGGTGGTGCACGTGTGTGTGTGTGTGTGTGGTGCGGAGAGGGGAAGAACCGGATCAATGGCCCCTACGTCAACATAGGTGGCGCTGCTAGTCGGTGGGGCGACGGAGGAAGCCGGAGACTGTCAGCGGTGCGCCATTCTTGTTCTAGTGCCGGTCGTCGTGGTCACAGGTCCTTCAGCGACATGCCCTCTAGCCAGAAACCCACACGGCGGGCGCCTCGGCGGCCAGAGCCTTCCGTCTCGGCACCACCCAAGTCCACCAGGCGGGCGTCCCGGTGGCGCGGATCAACAACATCGGCACCGCCACCGGTCCCCGAAACACCAGGGCGGAGCGTGGCCACGTGGGCGCGGCAGGAGGGGCAGGAGGTCCCGCGCTACTCCGTGAGCGACGCACCGTGGAAAACACAGCGGCGTGTTCGGCGCGACCTGCCGCTGGACCGTGTCCCGTGGCCATTCCGTGGCTGCACGCTGGCGGAGGGCGAGAAGGCAGCCGGAGGCGCCCAACTACCCACCGATGCAGCGGTGGGGTTCTGCGCCACGTGCTGCGTGACCGTGCACTTCAAGTGCCACTACAAGGGTGCCATGCACGTGGCGCGGACAAAGGCGGCCGCCGAGGAGATGGCCATCGAGAGGAAGGCGCCGGACCCAGCCCCGCTGAGCCAGCGCTCGGACACGGACCTGGCGGCCCTGTGCCGACAGCGAATGGGGGAGGACCCCCATTTCGCGGCACTGCTGTCAGGGCTGCCACCGCCCGCAGCCGCCGACGGACCACCTATGAACGGCGTCGCCACCATGGGCGTCGACCGTCTTTTGGAACTACAAGGCACAGCGGAGCCTCCCCCCCCCTCGTAAGAACGCTGCAGCAGGCAAAATATGTTTTTTTGTATTTCT